AAACTCCAAAACCATGAGCCAAAATAACCTTTTTCTCTTTATAAGTTAAGTATCTCAGGTATTTCATTGTAACAATAGAAAGTTGACTAACACAGACTCCTACCTCACATCAACACAAAAATTAACTCAAAATGAAACAAACACATAAACTAAATATAAGATTTAAAACTATAAAAGTCTTCAAAGATAATATAGGCAAAAATTTTTGTGATCATGTAATAGGCAATGATTTCTTTCAAAAGGTTTCTTGAAAAGGGCCCTGTCAAGAAAGTGAAGACAATTTCAGAATGGAATAAAATATCTGAAAATTATACATCTACTAAAGGTCTTATATCTAGAATATATAAAGAATGCTTTCAACTCAATAATAAAAAAGACAACCCAATTAAAAAGCGAAGTATTTGAATAGATATTATTCTAAAGAAGATACACAAATGGATTATAAGCATATTAATTGTTATGATTCATTAGGGAAATATAACTCAAAACCAAAATATAACACCACTTCACACTGACTAGGATGCTTATAATTAAAATTACAAATAACAACTTGCATTGGAAAGRATGTAGATAGAAAAATCAGAATGTAAAATGGTACAGCCACTTTGGAAAAGAGTCTGGCAATTCCTCAGAAGATTGAGCACAGATCGTAAGCATATATCCAAGAGAAATGAAAACATATGTACATACAAAAAATGTGAACACAAATACTCATAATATAATAGCATTACTTATAATAGTAAAAAGTAGAAACACCCAAATGTTTCAACAACTAATGTATGGATAAACAAATGTGGCATATACATGGAATGGAATATTATCAGCAATTATAAAGAAATGAAGTACTGATACATGGTACAATATGGGTAAACCTTGAAAACACTACACTAAGGAAAGAAGATAATCACAAAACACCATATATTTTATTATGACCTTTATATGAAATGTCCAGAATAGGCAAATATCTAAAAACAGAAAATAGAGGAGCAGTTTGCTAGGGCTGGGCTTGGTAGGAAAAAGGAAAAACTGCTAATGTGCATGGGTTTTTTTTGCAGGGAAGGAAGGTAATGAAAGTGTTCAAAAACTGATTGTAGTGATGGTTGCACAACTTGAAATCATGGAATTGTACACTATAAATAGGTGAATTATATCCCAATAAAAATGTTAGTTTTTAATAGGTAATTGGATGTTTAAAGCAAAAACAATAACATTGTATTGTTGGGTGTTTTACACAGAAGCAAAATGCATGATGATAATAGCTTAAAGGAGAAATGGAATTATATTGTTGCAAGGTTCTTATGCTATTCATGATATCATCATCTGAAGAAAGACTGTATAAATTGAAGATATATAAACTTGACAGCAACCATAAAAACAAATAGAAACATTAAAAAGTTATGGCTAATGAGATAAAAGTGAAAGATAAAATAGAATCATAAAGAAATAGCTAATCCCAAAGAAAGCAAGAAATGTGGCAAGGGGGTGGTGTTGATAGGTGGAACAAATAGAATACTGATAGCAAGATGGTGGGATTAAATTCAACTCTATTGATAATAATAGTAAGTTTAGACTATCTAAACTCTCCAATACCAAATCTATCAGACTGGATAAAAATGATACAATTAAATGCAGTCTAAAATAAAACTACTTCCAATATAAAATCAGTGAGGCTCAGAGTAAAAGGATGAAAAGATACACCATGCAAACAGTCATCAACAGAAATCCATAGTGATTATATTAATATCAGACCAAGTAGACCTCAAAACAAATGTTACCAAGGATAAAGACATTTTGTATTGGTGAACAGGTGAACTCCTTGAAAGCACATAATAATCCTAAATGTTTGGGCACCTAAGAAGGAAATTCAGTACATGAGCTACAAAAACTAAAAAAATAGAAACTAAGGAAAAGGTCTGGGGAGCAGTTCTAATCTTCAGCTTAGAGATGGAAGTAGAAGCTATCTATGGTCATTGATGGGATCACCAGAAACCCAGGTAAGGGAGAAAAGAGATGAAGATAGAAAAAGAATTCTCACAAAGACTAAGAAATCAAAATAGGAGAGAGCAAACAAGAAGTAGGGTCATGGAAGACAAGGGAAGAGCGTACCAAAGTTAGGGTGTGTTCTATGTCAAGTGTGGCTGGGAGGTAGAGGAAGAACTGAGAGGCTTCAGCTGGATTTATATGAGTCACTGGCATGAGCTGCATGGGTGGTGAAGTGGAGGCAGAAGCCAGGCTGTAGTGGACTGAGGACTCAGCAGGAGCTGAGGAAGTGGAGATGACAGACATGATGTTGGTTTCAATAGATGAAAAAGAACAGGAGAGAGGAAGGGTTGTAAAGTCAAGAAATTTGGGGTTGTTTTTTAAACTAGGTTACAGTGGAAGATGCCAGGAGAGTGGGGACACAAAGGTAAGCAGGGAGGGATGAAGGGAGAGAAGGAGGGAGGGAAAAGCAACAGAGCAAGGTACTGGGGTGGGGGCAGGATGTAGAAAGGATTATTAGATCCCCGGTGAAGAGACTAACCAGAAGAGGAACACCTATTTCTCGGTATGATGGGGGCCAGGGGCATAGATGGGCACAGATGGGTAAGTCTGGAGTACAGGCAGAGGTTAAAGAAGCTTCCTTCTGAAAAGTTTTCTTTTCTCGGTGAAATCAGAGTCTAGGTTGACTGCTGAGAACGAGTTGGGGAGCTGTGGTGTGAAAAAGTCAAGGGTCACGTGAGAGCTCTGAAGTGGCTGTTGGCTGAGCAGCAGGTCTGCTGGCAGCTCCCCTGAGGACTGTAGACCATGAATTTGAGCCAGTGTAGTCCACAAAGGGGTCCCCTCACCCCTCTATACCAGTACTAGAGAAGGCAGACCATTCCCACACTCCAAGGTTGGGGTGGATGCCTAAGGGGACAGACGGCAAATGGTGAGCAGCTGTAGAGACAAGCTATAGGGTTCAGATAGGATCGAAACAAGAGCTGATTCAAAGCGAGGAGAAAAACTGAGGGTGAAGGTCTTTCTGAGCTGACACAGTAGCAATGAGGGGGAACAGACTGCATAGGAGGTACAAAAAGACTAAGATTTTAGAGTTTCAACAAGATGCTGGTAATGGGTCGATGAAATGAAGGTGGCATTCAACACGTTGAAGACAAGGGCCTCAGAGGTTGGGGTATGGAGGCACCATCCTCATGGTCATGGAAGCGCCCGGTATGGTGGTAAAACATAGATGAAACACCACAAGCCAAGAGTCCAGTCTTTCTTGCTTCACCATATCCCTAAGGACCATATAACTTTGCCTTCAATTACAACTATTCCCAACCTATAGTGATGTGTCCCTATAATTCAGCCCTCAAATCTGAGGCTGAGTTCTCCTCAATTCCTTTGTCCATCTATTTACAGCTCTGTATGCCCACACAGAATAGGTCACCAAGAGTGAAATGTCATGCTTGTTGGTACCATCTTGAATTCAGCAGTTTTGCCTGACATTAAGGGCTACTAGAAGAGCCTTTCAACACGGAAGACCCAAAGTGGTAYTAGAGGCTCTGGACAAAGTAGGGAGGTAGCAACTTTCAGAAATACGCCAGCCCGGAAACCCAGTATGGCCAGGGATCCCTAACACCCAGTCATAAGCTGTAGACATACAGTCCACATGATGCACTGGGCCTCCATTTACATAAGTAAAGTTATGGCCAAAGGGCCACTTGCTCCCAGTAAGCCTCTTGATTCCCAAGTGAGGCAGGCTCCCTCATCTTTACCACACATAAAAAAACCCTAAGCAGGTGGCCTGAGTTCTAGTTCTAACTCTACCATGAACCTGCAGTGTGACTTTGCCCTGAAGGCTCAGTTTTCTCTATTAAACAAAGGGTTGGATGTAGGATCTCAAAGACTCTTGAAGACTTGACATAGCCTATGGGTTAGCAGATACAGGAAAAAGACTCATCATCTCACATCATTCAAACCGCACCTGCTGCAAAAGACAAATGAGCTAAAATCTTCAAGTCTCATTACAGCCCTCTTTCTGAAGTACACTACTAATACCCCCGCTCCTCCCCAAGACCTCTGCACCAGGTTCAAGTGATAAACTCCACCACCACATTTTTCTCTTCATGAGATGTTCTCTAGGCTTAAAAAATCAACCTGGTCTGAGGTTGTGTGTAGAAAAAAAGAGACACAGTGTCACACCTGAGACCTATGGTTCTCTACAGAGTTTCCCTTTTAGGAAACTAAAAGGCTACCATCATCACAAATCCCATCTGTGTTCCAGGACTGACAACCTTGGGCGGGGGGCCAAACCAGAGCCCTAGGTGTCCCCTATTTCTTTGTCTGGACCTCAAAGGGCAGGCTGATCCTCCAGGTGCTGTGTACCCTAGTGGCCACTCCACAGAGGGAGGGAATTCCATTACCTTGCCTCATCTGTACATAGGGACGAGCCTCTCCTACCCAGGACTGCTATTTCTGACCATCCCATTGGGCCAAGGAATACATCCTAAGGACCCCAATATCAATAAATTACAAATAAGGTTCTGTTCAGGAGCCCTGGGAAAGACCCAACTTCTGTCCTCAGAAGACAGGCCTGGGGATGCCACCTAGAGATAAGGCATATCCAGACCTGCGTACTTGGATAATGAGGCTGGATGCTCTCGCACCATGATCTCCTCAGTGGTTTGGGGCCATAGCCTGATCACATGTGAAAGACACCCTCTCCTTGGGTGGGCCTGGCTGAGAGTCCTAGAACAGACTGGTGAAGAGAGCCCACACCTCTGGCCTCTGGTCAGCACCACCTGGCTGGAGTCAGGGCAAAGGAGCACAGGAGGATCTGAGAGGAACTAACCAAGCCCACAACAGCCACCCTAAGTGCAGACTTTACCTAGTGGCYGCACCCTTCCTTAACCCCATGTCTCACACACACCCCAGCTCATATGGGGTCCACAGCCATCAAGCCACCCACTCCCTCCCCACACCTCCCTTCACAATCCCCTGAAGACGATCCTCCCTTCCCTCCTTCCCTGACAGCTCACCCAGCGATCTCCCTTCCTTCCTTCCAGTACTTCCTCCTGGTTGTTCTCCTGAGGAGGAAAAGAAGGGGTGATTCTCCACACCTTTGCAGCCTCACCTCATCATCCCCACCTGTTGTCTGGGCACAGTGTGATCACTCAAGGCCTCCTTCAGTGCCCTGGTCTCAGCTGCCTCAGGAAGTGAGTTCAGTGACGAATTGGGGTGGAGGGACTTCCACAGGGTGCTCCCTCTGGGCCCAGCACAGCAGGCAGGCAGGCCAGAATGAGGGCAGGAATGGCTGGAGCCGTGGAAATAAGTGTGGGGTGGGGGTGGGGGCAGGAAGAGACTGGAAGGAGGAGCCCGCCAGAAGAGGCATGGAGGCAGGACTGTGGAGCAGCCAGATGACTTGAAACTAGGGGGAGAGGCTTTTACTCCAGTGGTGAGGATCCCCTGAGATCCTGGGCAGATTCTGAAGTAATGAGGCCACCCTGATCACCAGTCTAGAGCCTCAGGGGCTTGGGGATAAAGGCAGGGAGCCCCATATGGTGAGCAGGGAGAAGCACCTGGGGGCAGAGGAGGCTTTGGAACTGCAAAGGGAAGGGTGGGTAGCTGGAGTTAATGCAGGGGTGGGGTACACGGGCTAAAGGTAGGAGGGTGTTGAGTGCTTACCCATCTCTTCGGTGGCCCCGTTTCAGGGGCCCAGGTTTCCTGTGCTGCTTTGAATGCTGAGATCCCATGGGCTGGGGAATGCCTCCTGGGGACAAAATCCCTGTCTCGGCAAAAGAGTGCAAACCCAGAAAGAAGATAAAGTTGTCCTAGCCCCCATGGTGGCCAGAGGATGAAGTACTTGGGGGATGGTCCTGCTTCAGGCTGCACTTGAAGACCTGGTGCCTGTTGAAATGCCTCGTATTCAGCTTAGGACTGAAGCCAGCTCAAGCCCACTCAGGTGTCTCCCTTCATCACCGTGGCAACAGTCAGACTAACAACCACCATCACTGATTAATTAGGACATGGAAACCTGTCTGCTGTTCTTGTCCCCCTCCCAAACCCTTCAGGACTAGATTGAATCCTCAAGGTCTCAGCAGCCATGCCACACAGGGACAGCCAAATGCTAGTTTCCATGGCAACACGGAAACCATGTATCCTTGCTTCTGCAGGTTACTATGGCAACCCATGCAGAGCTAAGTGCACTGAGGACAAAGGCCTATTTTGGAGGAACCACAACCAGAGGACACATTCTCTGTTGCCCTCTCTGTAGGAAGCTCTGTACCAGGGGTCAGGCTCTGTGCTGGGGGTACACACACTGTGCCTTTTAGAGGCTGATGGGGGATCTAGGACTTGTTTGTCTGCATGCTCAGACTGCTGTCTCCTCCCCATCAAAAAGTGCACCTGGGTGATGTCATCCCCTCTCACAGGGCTTCACCTCCCCCAACCCTTACACTGAGAACATCCAAGACATCCAAGATAAGGCATGGTGGGCTTAGCCCTCTCCTTAACTCTGCTGTTCTCTGGACACAGTACTCTGGATGGTCCCATGGCATCTCACACTGAAGAATGAAGTTTTGGACTTCCTGTGAGTCTGACCATTAATTTTGTATCTTCTGTCTCTGTGACAGCACTCTCATTGTCATCAGAACACAGTCTGTCAGCCGAGACAATACTATAGGTGGCAAAATTAGGTTCTAAGGGAGGAGGGTTGGAACCAAGACAGAACCAGGTTTCCCAATACTGCACAAAATCACCGAACATGGGCAGCTTCCAGGTGAGGCAGGGTATGTGTGCTTGCACTTGGAATTGAAGATCCCAACCCTCTGTCTCTCCAACTCTCTCTCTCAGGTGTCTTCTGTCCTGCTGCAGCCATAATGGATCCTTCCAGTAAATGGGCCTCTCAAAGTTGATGCTCAGGCCAGCACTTTCTCAAGTTCTCCTTGGTCCCTTCGTGCTCAAGCTCTCAGGTTTATACATTGGTCCATAGGGTTAGACCAGGAGAATAGGGTGTTCTTTGGGGCCTAGGGTGCCTGTGCTAACAGACCCTGTACAGCACAGCAGGAGCCCTTCAGTGAGACCCACCCTCTGCAGGAAGCTGCTTAGGCACCCATGTCTACTTCAGCAAATCACTCCCTACCACAAACAGATCATCACATTTCTTCTTTCAGCCTCATGCTGTCCTCTTCCTGGGAGGAATTCAGGCAGATGTAATTTTCTCCATCTCCGTACACATCCAGTGATGCTTCAGCTTCCTTTTAGATTAGCATGTCAGGAGCACTGTCGGATGTGCCTGCTCTGCCTTGGCTGGATATGATTATAAGAGTGGAGCAAGACCAGCATGTTCTGTCCCCCAGAGCAGTTACCATGGCAACCTCAGGCCTTCTTTGAGGTGTGTGAAGACTAAATCAGGGTGCAGAGAGATGAAGTTGGGGATGGGCAGTAGGGAAAACCCTGGAGGGGGTCCTCTTGGTCCCTTGCTACCCTGGGCCCCTGCTCAGAGAGAAGCTGAACCACTCTACCCGAGGCAGTAGGCATGAGAGATGAAGGGAGCTGCTGGGTCAGGGCCCAGACGGAGTAAGGGCAGCACGGCCAGGACTAGGTAGTCTGGATAAAGCACTCACCTGATGTAGAATTTAAGGACATGTCCAAAAATTCAGTGGGAGAGATATAATTTAAAAATGTTCATGATAAGCAAAAAGATTAACATTCTAAACAAAGGAAGGATATGACAGTGTTGAAATCGGGAAGAAGCAAGTGAGGTCAAGGCYTGCAAGTACAGGGCTGTGTCCTGCCTGTGTTAAAATTTTGATTTTGTTATGGATGCATTTGAATTATTCTGATTTTTTAAAAAGACTGCATTTGAAATATTACTTGTCTTGATTACTGAGCTTTTTGGAGGCCCCTTACATTTTGCACTSGAAGTAAATGCTTCCCTTGTCTCACCTACTCTGAGCCCTAGAAGCAGGGGACAGTCTGAGTCAGGGGCAGGGGGAATGCTGATACAGTTGAAAATGTATGTCAAGGAGCCAGGAGGTTGGTTTATGTCTGATAAAATGCAGGGATTCCTCTCAGTTCTGAGAGAATCCGATTCATATTTCACATGACTCTGCAACATGAAGACTGGGAGGTACAGGTGCCTAGCAAGCACAAGGGCCCCCTACACACAGGGTGACAGTGACTCACAAGGTGGCTCCCATCTCCTGCCCTCCCTCAGGCTGTCTGTGAAGGGTGGGGGGAAGAAGAGGGAGGGGAGTGAAGGGGGCGGGCTGGCAGGGAAGAAGCTGGCAGTCTCCAGGATCAGGAATGGCAGATTAGCTGTAATTGCCTGAAGCTGAGATGCTGTTGATAAATGTTACTAATAATCAACCTTCAGATCTGACACCCAGTTCAGCTGGGATTACTGTTTTGAATGGAAATCGAACCCAAACCAGTAATTACCCTGGTGAGTGATGCCATTTTTACTCTAGAGCCTGTTCTAGGCAGGAAAATGGCACCTGCATGTCAGTGGAAGACACCTTTCTGGGTTTACATTCAAGAGCACAAGTTAGCATAGGCTCATCCAACTGAAGGGGACACAGCCAACAGGAATACCTACACTTCTTCCTAGGACCTGCTGTGCACAAGGGAACCTACTCACCATCTGCAGTCTCCAAGCACAGTCCAACCTCAGGCCTCATTCCCACTGTCATCCTTCTTGGGCTGGGTAGAGATCCCTTGTTGACACTACCCCAAGCTGTCAGAGCAGTTGCTTTGATGGAGGACTGGCTGCTTCCCAACACAACAGCAACCCTCCAGCCTATGTCTGGAACCCTTGGACAGCCGTATATCCTGTTAGACTGGGAAGACAAAGCCCTAGAGCCCATACCAGTTCTTATCTCTGGTCCCAGTTTGCTCCTGACTTCTTTTACTTCTCCTGTGGGCAAGGCCCGGGCTGATGACAACTGCAGAGTGAGGAGATAATTTGAGGGCACCAGTGTGCCCTGGAGGGGAACTGGGAGCRCCAGAGGCTAGATCCCTCCCGTGCCCGCTGCCCTGCAGTTCCAGACCCTGGGGCCCATTGTGCCCTTTTCCTGAAGCTGAAAACTGTACCTGGAAATAAGCGGCATTCTTTGGGCCCGGACTGCTGCAGAGCCCCTCACAGCAGACTATTTTAGCCCAGACCTCCCTGCGTCTCCTTGGTGCCTCTCATTTTGTTTATGGAATCCCTAAAATGCTGGCACCACCAGAATCAGGCCAGAGGCTGCTCCTGTCTCTGAACTGACCCCTCCCCAGGGTACACTCATGCTTGGGTCCTTCTCCCTGGCTTCCCACAGGGTAGATGGATTATAAGAGAACATTCACTAGACAACAAAGGTGATATGACCAGGGATGGCAATGCTCTCTCCTGTTCACATACCATTCACCACCAAACACTTTCTACCCTCTTCGCTGCACCAGGCCTGTACTGGGCAAGGGGCCCAGAGCAGAACAGAAGTCCCTGTTCTCAGAGCATAGTGGGGGAGCACCAGTAAGCAAAAAATTGCAACTGCAGATAGGCCTTGGTGGCCCCTTCCAACCAGGTAAAAATACCCTGGAAAAATAGTCTGGGGGTGTTGATGTGCTGACTTAGGGGGCAGACAGAGCTAGTCAGGCCCATGGGATTCAGARTGTGTAACCACAGCCTTTCAAGGCTACACCTGGACCTGTGAATGTGGCAAGTGTCAGAACACCTAGCACAAGGAGCAGACGCCTCAAGCCCGCCACCTAGTGGCAGAATAGCAGGAATGCAGAAGCAACGTCTTCAGGCCCCTTAGTTTCCCTCTGCTCCTGCCCAGTCCCTGAAATGGCCTGAACTCAGATGGGCAAAGGGGAATCAAGAAAGAGTGTTTAATTTTGTTTGAAAAGTATAGGGCCTGGGGCTTGGATTGTGGCTCAGCGGTAGAGTGCTCACCTAGCATGCATGGGGCCCTGGGTTTGATCCTCAGCACCACATAAAAACAAATAAATGGAATAAAGGAATTGTGTCCAACTACAACTAAAAAACTAAATTAAAAAAAGAAAAGTATAGGTCCTGGAGGAAAAGGGCACAATGGGCCCCAGGGTCTGGAACTGCAGGGCAGCGGGCACGGGAGGGACCTAGCCTCTGGCGCTCCCAGTTCCCCTCCAGGGCACACTGGTGCCCTCAAATTATCTCCTCACTCTGCAGTTGTCATCAGCCTGGGCCTTGCCCACAGGAGAAGTAAAAGGAAAACTTGCCCAGAACTGGACTGCTTAACCTTACAGATGCCATGAGAGATGTGGGGGTCCCAGAGAACCTGTGCTCACCATCCGTGAACTCACCTGACTCCTGTGGCTAGGAAGAGGATCCCTTAACAACTTGGAGTCAGGCAAGGGTCCTCCTCCAGCCCTCAGTAGAGGTTCTGGAATTGGGTTCTAGTATGTTTGCTGCCCCATTCATTTTCCTCTCTTGCTAGCAAGGAGTCTCCTGATGTGAGACAAGCAGTCCCTAAAGTGATGTTCCCAGGCAGGGAGAGCACTCAGCGTGGGGTGTGCCAGATGTGTGGAGGATGCACCGGGAGAAGGGAGAGAAAGTACTCAGGTATACGGGTGGGAAAAGACAAGGGAGACTGTAGCAGGGCAGCATTCGGAAATACCTCTCACAGTTCACAAACTTTATCTTAAAAAGCCAGAGACTACATATTTCAGGCTTATAAACCATACACAACCCCAAGGTTAGAGAGAAAAAATAGCCATAGGCAATATTTGAACAAATAAATATAAAAATATTTACAAGTAAGCTATTTACAAAAACAGGCTGCCAGTTCACTGATCTAGCACAAATACTGCCCACTTCCCACT